AAACTCTCTGCCTCAGGCATGTGAAGAAGCAGGGCTCTGCTCCTGTGTCACATTCCTGGGGCCCCTGGGCACTTTGGCATTGAGATTAAAGGAGGCATTGAGTGCTGAGAGGTACAGTCACAAGGTCGGGAGCTCAGCAGTCCCCTGGCATAAGGAGAGAGATGTTTCAGATGACAGACACTTGAGCTGAATTGTTTGGTGGTGGGAATGCTCCAGGGTGGAGGGAGATATGAATCCAAAAGAAAGTAGAGAGCTCTTCGTCCCCCAAGCTGAGCTGATCTTCTCTCAAACCCAGCAGTATACAAAATAATTTTGTTTTTGAAGGAGAAAAAAGTAAAATACTTCTCAATATTTATCCCCCCAAATTAGCAAACTTGTTGAAATGAAAACTGTGATGAAGAACTGTAACTATTGAATGAGTATAAATATAGAAAAGAACAACAACAACAACAAAAAAGAAAGTATAGGAAGTCACAAAATTGGGGACAGAGTTTCCCAAAGGGGGCGGGGTGTGTGGCATCCGTGGTTGGGGGAGATGATGAAACCATGAGGGGTGATAAGAGCCTTAAGTGCAACTGACTGCACATTTTCTATTCTTTCACTTAGAGAGCGTGAATTTCTAGGGGGTTGTCGAGTGATTTTTTTTTTTTTTGAAAAGGTGTAGTAGACCTGATAAAGTTGGAAACTCTGCTCCTGGACCTTGAGAAGTGGTGAGGCGAATGAAATGCAGAGCAGATGTGTAGGAATATTGGTAAACCTGGAAAAATGGTGATAAGAAGGTGAGGGAGTTAATGCCGACTGCTTTTCATTCTTGGTTTTTGAAAGAGACAAGTGAAAGTCGAGGAAGAGCATGGGTCTTTGAGATAAGGCACGAAGTAAGAATGAGACTTGGGGGTACTGGAGATATAGTACAGGGAGTAAAGTGTTTGCTTTGCATGTGACCAACCTGGGTTGATTCCTGGCATCTCATATGGCCCCTTCAGCACTACCACGAGTGGTTCCTGAGTATAGAGCCAGGAGTAACCCCTGAGCACTGCTGAGTGTGGCCTGAAAAACTAAAACAAACAAATAAAAGAGACTTAAGACAAGGGAGCAGATCAGAGGGCTGGAGCCAGGCCTGGCATGCAGAGGGCCCCTTGGTACAACCCCAGCACAGCATGGCCTCCCTAACATCTTAGGACCCCCAGACTGCTAGGGGAGCCCTTCCCTCCAAAGTAAGGTCTGCCTTGGATGCATAGGCACAGATGTTCTGCAAGAATGGGCGCTTGGAGAGGTAGGTGCCCATGAATTATAAGCAGTGCTGACCGGAAGAGTACAGAGTTGGGTTCTGCTGACCATGTCCACAACGTCCATAGTAGAACGTCCACAATGGGGGGACATAGACTATGCAGTCCAGGCCAGCCCGGAGGGAGGGGTGAGTACAGGGTCACGGAGTTTGTAGGATATCAGGCCCATCAACTGAGTCTTTTTTTTTTCTTTTTGGGTCACACCCAGTGATGCACAGGGGTCAATCCTGGCTCTGCCCCTTGGTACAACCAGGAATTACCCTTGGCTGTGCTCAGGGTACAATATAGGATGCTGGTAATCGAACCTGGGTTGGCCATGTGCAAGGCAAACGCCCTACCCGCTGTGCTATCTCTCCAGCCTCTCAACTGAGTCTTGAGAAGGATTTTTTCTCTCTCCAGCACCCTTTGGCCAGAGCTCACCCACAAAGGCACCTGTGTAAGAAGCAGCGGTGACACCCAGTGACTGCTCCTTGAAGTGCACTGCCCCGGAAGTCCCCAAGACCCTGGTCTGAGATGATCAGGGAGTGCTCTGCTCTTCGAGAGGGACACTCCAGCCCTCCACACGCTCTCTGTGACTGTTGCGGCAGCATTCAGTACCCCAGGCTTGGGCTTTCAAAGGGGTTGGGTGGCTCAGCGGGAATCACAGATGGGCAATCCAGGCACACTTGAGTACCCTTGGGACTCCCAGACCTGGGCATTTTGCAAGGCTCCCTCCCAGATGGAGAGCAAGTGTGTTAGGATGACCGTGGCCTGCCTAGAACATCACCAGGCTTTAAACAAATGCTAGGGAGTGACCCAAGTCTCTTGCAGCCCCATGGCTGTCTTCAGAGAATTAAATCCTGAGTGAGTGGAGGCACCACTCTCCGCTGCCTCCCCAGAGTCAACGGTCCTCAGCGATGGGACAGAGTCCTAATGCCTCTGACTCTATGTCGCCACATTGCTCCCTAAGTACTGGGACTCATGAATACTGTGCTGGACTTGTGGGTCCAGAAGTTGGTGTTCCTTTATTATTGGCTGCTCCACCCAGGGGAAATAAAAAGAGGGGTGAGATAGGACATTGCAATATCCTATATATTTTTCTGTGGGGGCAGGGAGGAGGGGTGCTGAAGACAGGGGGACAGCATACAGAGCTTACACTCTAAAAGCCCTTTCAGTTATCTCTGTCTCCCATCCCCCACCTCCACCTCTGCCCGCCATGGGTACTTTTGTTGTTGTGGCCACTTTTCCCCAGGATCTGCCATTTCTCTTTTACTTTCAGAGGTAAAAGTCGGGTGATCAGTACATGAGGGTGTTGGCATGTCCCTGAAGCATGAATCCTGGAGTGGGGGTCACTGAAGATGCTTTCTTGGGTGGGTAAAGGAAGACTGTCCAATGTATGTCACACACAAAACTCTACAAGTGGTAGATTGGCGGTTAACCAGATCAAGCTGAAACGCTTGTATCTGGAGACGCCAACGACTTTTCTTTATTGACAGCTTTCAATTCATTCTTGGACCCACCTCATCTAGATTAAATAACATATGGGATGTCATTTCCCTTCACACACTCCTTGCTCCTCCCTCAGCAGCAGAGTTCCATGGCGCGCTAAAGAGGAGTAGGATGGGCAAGAGGGGAAAGCTATGCCATTGGTCTCAAAGGCTCTTTCAGAAAAAGCCTTTTGGTTTTGGGGCCACACCATTCTATACTCAGGAATCACTCCTGGAAATGCTTACGGGACCATATGCGGTACTAGGGCTCAACCTCTGATTGGCTAAGAACAATGTAGACACCTTAACCCCTGTACTAACTCTCTGAGTCCTCAGAATAGCCTTATTATTATTACTTTAAAAAAAAAAAAACAGAATAGCCTTTTGAAAGCTGCTTTCACTGTGCTTTTTTGCACTCCTCCCTTTATTGCCCAGATGTGCTGCCATGGTGTCCCCTGGGGAAATCTCTGTGCTGGGTCTCTTGTCTTGACTCAGAGGAAGTTTCAGAGGAAATGCACTTGTGCCATCGGCGGCCTGCCAGTCTATTCCAGCTGGCTTTGAGCTTCCTGCTCTGTTCCAGGCTGGAGCAGCCCCGGCGGCTCCCTGTCTGCTGGCTTTTGCTCTGGCCAGGGGGACTGGCCACACCTCGCCTCTGTCTGCGCCCAGAGCTCAGGGGCCTGCCCAGTGTGTACACAAGCCCTACCCAGCAGGCCTCACTCTCCTTGGAAAGCTGTGGACGTGGCCATTGAAAACAAGTGAGGACTCAGCATTTCAGTGATGGCCCTTCCCTCTGACTCACCTGCCTTAACTCTTTCCGGGTGTTCCCAGGGCTCAGCCCTCAGCATTTTGCCTCAACCCAGGACTGAGTATGACAGGAATGGGATGGGGGGAAATTACCACTGCCCTCCCCACTCCACTCCTGGCACAGAAGCAGCCACCCTTACACCCAGCACTTCTTTGGGTACCATATAGGGCCAGAATCAAACCTAGGGCTCCTTTATGCACAACATGTGCTCAGCTCTTTGAATCATCTTCCCTGCCTCTAAAAGTGACTCTGTTTCTTTCTTGTTTTTTTTTTTGTTTGTTTGTTTTGGTTTGGTTTGGTTTTTGGGGCCACACTCAGCAGCACTCAGGACCTTATTCCTGGCTCTCCATTCAGGGATCACTTCTGGCGTGCTCAGAGTACCATAAGGGGGTGCTGGGGATTGAGCTGGGTCAACCACAGGCAAGGCAAGCACCTTACCTGCTGTACTATCTCTCCAATCCCTAATTTTTAAAACTTTAAAACCTGTAAATCAACCCAACAAAACAAACACGAAGGAAAACAAAGCCCTCTGTGGGGCAGGATGTGGTGGTGGTGGTGGTGGTGGGGCTATGAGGCATTAAGCTGCGGAGCCCCCCCCCCCCCCCCCCCCCCCCCCCCGCATCCGCTGCTAAGCCTCTCTTGCCTGAGCAAGGAGTTCAGGAGCGTCAGGGGGGGCTCAAGCCTTGCTCTAGGCTCTAGACTGACCAAACTCCTGCATGCCACATTCCCGGGGATCCTCGTGCCAGGAGCAGGGCGGCAGCATCCTCCCCAGCCTGGGCCTCTCCAGCCCAGAGGGAGGTCCAAGGGAAAGCTATTGCACAGGGCGGGGTGTCCCCAGGAGTGCACGGGAGGCCCCTTCGCGCGGGGAAGGGCCAGCGTGTGAGCAGAGAGCCGGCTCTACCAGCTTTGACTTCTGGAAAGGCGATGGTCAGCGTGGACGGGCCTGCCCGGTGGCAGCGTCTATCCTCAGAGCTGCTCTGATGGCAGGCTTGCCCCTGCAATGCCTGCACCCCTCAGACCACGACCCCGTTCTGCCAACCCCGAGGGCTGCAGCTGGTACAGAGCCGGGACAGAAGAGGCTGCGTCCAGGGCCAGTGTGTGTCCCAGCCAGGACGCAGAGCCGCAGCGGGGAGCCGGCAACTCGCCTGGCGGGAACTTGCTGCCCCCGGGTTCCCCCAAGGCCCCCCGGACGGCCCCGTCGGGTGGGGGTCGTGGGGGCAGGGCCCTAGGCCGGCGGGCGCGGGGCCGGGCGCGGCCGGCGGCGCCTGGCAGCGGGGGGATCTGGAGGCGGCTCCCCCTCCCGGGCCCGGGGGGCTGGGCCGCCGGCGGGGGGCCTTTATCTGGATTCCTGCGGCCGGCGCTTCCCGGCATGCCCCGCTCGCAGAGCCGCCCGGACGCCCGGACTTTGCCTTCGGCGGGGGGCCCGGGGGTGCGCGCTTGGAGCCGCAGCCGGAGGTGGGTGCGCCGGGACGGCGGGCGAGGGGTTCCCGACGGCGCCCGGGCGCGAGGGCGCGGGGGGCGGCGCGCGGGGGGGGAGGAGTGGGGACCGCGGCGACCCACAAGTGGCACCGAGTGGGAGCGGCGCGCGTCCCCCGCGCCCCGGAGCAGCTCCCGCAGGTCGGGGGATGCGGGGGGCTGCGTCCCGGGGGTGCCCGGGAGGCCTGCCTGCGTGCCGGGTGTCGGGGTGCGGGGCCCCCGCTAGGCAGGCGACGGGAGAGGCGGGGAGGGGGGCGGCTTGGTCTGGTTTGTTCTCCGGGTGCTTGGGAACCCCTTGGAGGGAAAGTCCCCGGGAGGGGGAAAGACCCAAGGGGCGTCTGCAGAGACCAGCCAGACACAAAACCCTCCCGGGTTCCCGTGTCAAGCAGAGAAAGAGAAAACCACCGACGGACACCCCCACCGCGGAGAAACGCAGCCAAGGCGCAGAGAAAGCCGGAGCGCGCTGGGCTCGTAGCGCAGGGGAAGGAGCGGAAACAAAGCGGGTGGTCCAGGGGGGCTCGGGGCTGGGGGAGGGGAAGGAAATGCTGGGAAGGGGAGACACGGGGTGGGTGGGGGAGGTGTTAGAGGAGCTAGGGGGACGACGGAGGAGAGGGAGGAAATGGAGACAGGGTGGGAGGAGAAAAGGCAGAAGAGCAAGCACGAATAGCGGCGCAGAGGCGAAGCAGACTCCAAATTTCTCAGCGGAGTGCGCAAGGAAGCTCCCACGGGGCGCAAAGTTCTGAGATCCACTTCTTAAAAACATTAATTATTTTTTTAAATTGAATTACAGTGAGGCACACAGTTACCAAGTTGTTTATGATTGGGTTTCGGTCATACAGTGTTCCAACACCCGTCCCTTCGCCAGTGTGTATTTCCCACCACCAGTGTCCCCAGTTTCCCTCCCGTTTCCAGTCCCCCTGTGACAGGCACTTTTCTTCTTTCTCTTTCTCTCTGAGACCCTCCTTGAGAACAACCTCCTTGGCACTTGAAGCTAACAGGTCATCCTGATCATCCTTCCAAACCCACCTCAAGCTGTCACTTGTCCCTTGTCCTGTGAAGGAGGCTCCCCCCCCCCCCCTTCCGTGAGCCGCATGCAAACACTTCCTTTTTCCTTCCTCTGCCGTTGTCAAGAGAATTGCAAGAGGGTGATTCAGTTTGCCTCTTCCCTAGTCTCTCAAAGTTGGAGGTCCATGTAATATCTCTAGTTTTCAGAAAACAGTTCGTTGCTTGATATATAGTAGATGATCAATGATTTTTTTTGGGGGGGAGGGATATTATTTTGGGTCATACCCAGGGGTGCTCAGGGCTTACTTCTGGTTCTTTGCTCAGGGATCACTCCTGGTGGTGCCCAAGGGACCATATGGAGTGCTGGATCTAACTGGGATTGGCCACATGCAAGGCAAGCACCCTACCCTCCCTGCACTATCTCTCTGGCCATGACCCTGAATTTTTATAATCTTTTCCTCCTTGGTAAGGAAAAGGAGGAACTGGAGAGAGAATTCACCAGGCTGCACTGGCTTTGCATGCTTAAATACCCCACTCTAATTCCACCTGGTCCTCCAGGCACCTCAGGGAGGGACCCCTGAGCACAGTTTGAAGTATCCCCCAAATATCACTGGGTCTAGTCCAAAAACAAAACAACAACAACAAAAAAGAAAGGAAAGGGAAAGCAAATATTCTTGGCTACATAAACATATAAACTTGGACAAATGACTTAACTTCAATGAACTTTAGGTTTTTTTTTTTCTTTTTGGGTCACACCCGGCGATGCACAGGAGTTACTCCTGGTTCATGCACTCAGGAATTACTCCTGGCGGTGCTCAGGGGATCAAATGGGATGCTGGAAATCGAACCTAGGTCGGCTGCGCGCAAGGCAAACTCCCTACCCGCTGTGCTATTGCTCCAGCCCCATATGAACTTTAGTTTTTGCTGCTGTAAATAGGAAAGCTGGTCACTACCTCCAAGGATTGTTAGAAGCATTAACACAAACAAAGCGCATAGCACAGACTCTCAGCCAATAGAATCTTGCCCTTCTTCACAGGTAGGAACACCTTCATTCACTTCATATGGTTGTGAAAGTAACGGTGGCAATGTAAAAGCAATTTGTTGTTGTTCAGGATGTAGAAGCCTTTCTTGTCCCAGCTTCCTGGGAAGCAAAACTCTTCCAGTCCCGCCAATGTCCAGTCCCTAACTCTGTTCCATGAAGCCTTGGCAAGTAGGCTTCCCCTCCAGATGTGTCTAATCACATTGATTTATTTTTATTTCAAAGTTAGTTCCCGCACATCAGAGCTTGTCACGATTGGGTTTCAGGCAGTCTTTTTTCCAGTATCAATCCTTTTCGTCGGTACCCCCAGTTTCCCTCCCATCTTCCAGTCTTCTGCCAGCACAGGCACTTTTTCCCCTTGGCTTTTCATTTTAGGCACCGTGTGTGGTTTACAGTACTGTTAAGATTTCCCAGGATCGGGGCTGGAGCAATAGCAAGTAGGTACGGTGTTTGCCTTGCACGTGGCCTACCTGGGTTTGATTCCCATATGGACCATCCCATATGGTCCCCTGGGCACCGCCAGGGGTGATTCCTGAGTGAAGAACTAGGAGTAACCCCTGTGCATCGCCAGGGGTGACCCAAAGAGCAAAAAAAAAAAAAAGATTTCCCAGGATTGAGCAACAAGTTTCTTAGCACCTACTCCCATTTGCTGTCGCGCGCATAAATGAACAGGAAGCTCTGGAGTGAAGCTAAAGTGGAGCTAGAACTGTCCCTGTCCGCAGAGGGGGACCTGAGATCCAGCTGCTGATCTGTCCCTGTCCGCTGGTCTCTGCAGGTGACCCAGGAGCCGGCTGCTGATCTGTCCCTGTCCTCAGGTGGCTGCGGGTGACCCAGGATCAGGCTCAGTCCCTGCAGCCCCACTGTCTGCTGTGCCATTCCCTGCCTCTTCCAAGCTTTAACCGTGCGTGGGGAATGTGACCGGGATTGAGCGTGTCACCGGAAGTATGGAGACCGTGGTGATTGTGGCCATCGGGGTGCTGGCCACCATCTTTTTGGCCTCCTTCGCGGCCTTGGTGGTGGTGTGCCGGCAGCGCTACTGCCGGCCTCGGGACCTGCTGCAGCGCTATGATTCCAAGTGAGTGTTCTCAGGGCGTGCCCAGGGAGAGGGACATGGGTTCCACCCCCCGGGTGCCCGTAGAAGACAAAGAAACTGCGGACAGTGTGGTCCTTTGAGCGATGCTGGGAGTGATGACCCCCAGACCATGCTCTGGGAGTAACTCCTGATCACCACCAGGAGTGGCCCCCAAATAAAGAGCATCAGTGGTAGAGCACTAGCATTGCATTGTTGATCCCTGGCACCGCTAAAATTAAAAAGCTCCTGAGCACTGTCTTTCCCTAGAAAGACCCCAGAGTTTACGAATGTTGCTTGAGCCAGAGATAGTATAGGGTTTAGGCGCCATGGCTGATCCTGGTTTGAGCCTGGCACTCAATAGCCAGGAGTAAGCCCTGAGCACCGCCAGTGTGGCCCACGCCCCACTCTCCATCAAAAGAATGTTTCTCGGAGCTGGAGTGATAATACAGTGGGTAGGGCATTTGCCTTGCACGTAGCCGACTCAGGTTCAATCCCCGGCATCTCATATGGTCTCCTTAGCACTGCCAGGAGTAATTCCTGAGTGCAAAGCCAGGAGTAACCCCCGTGCAATGCCAGGTGTGACCCAAAAGACCAAAAAAAAAAAAAATGCTTCTCAAGAGGCTGGGAAGATAGCCTGTTGGTAAGAGGAGCACTTATTTGCCGTGCATAGGCAAGACCCTGAATCCTATCCACACTTCTGTCAAATGATTAGTAATGTCTGTTTATATGATCAAGGCAAGCTCTCCATTTCAGAGACTGCTCTGGGTGTGGGGATGTAGCTCAGTGGCAGGGTGCTTTCCTGGCATGTATGCCATCCTGGATTTGATCCTGGGCACCACATATGGTCCCCTGAACTCCACCAGACCCAGAGCACAGAACCAGGAGTAAGCCCTGAGCACTGCTAGGTATGGCTCAAAAACTGAAAGAAAGAGGTAGGAAGAAAGAAAGAAAGAAAGGGAAGAAAGGAGAATAGAATGGAAGAAGGAAAGAAAGGCCGGAAAGAAAGAAAGGAAGAAAGGTTTCTATTGTAGATGTGTTTTACTTTTCCCACCCTTTCAGGATATAGGAGGGAGTGGAAGTTGCTCCCTTCAGACAAAATGAGGGGAACAGGTAGATTTGGGTATCAGAAGCCTTCCTTGCTATACCAAGGTGGGCTTGAAGGGAAGAAAAGTTACAGAAGTATGTTATTTTGTCCTGACGACCCATGGAGGTACCTAAGGTGGGAATCCTTTTCCTCCCCTCGCTCCATGTCCATTTCTTCTGGTTTTGTGCCCTCACCTCTCTCCTAGTCCCCCAGACCAGCCATGGGCCCTGCCACAGCTGCGTTCCTACCAGGCTTAGATCAGCTCTGGGACAAGAGACCTTGCTCTGACTTACCAACCCCTTCCTGTGTGGAAGGTTCGGGGGCTCCAGGAGGAGAGGGTCAGCTGGGGACTCCCCGCCGCACCCCCGCAAGAAACCACACCCGGGGCTCTTGCTTTCAGGCCCATTGTGGACCTCATTGGGGCCATGGAGACCCAGTCTGAGCCCTCGGAGTTGGAACTGGACGATGTTGTCATCACCAACCCCCACATCGAGGCCATCCTGGAGAACGAAGATTGGATTGAAGATGCTTCGTAAGGCTGTGGCGACTGCAGGCTTTCCTGATACCCCTGGGGCTGGCGGGCAGGACTTCCCTCTCCAGGGCTCTTGCCCGGGCATTGGGAGTCGAGGGCTGCTTGCTGTCATTTCCTTTGGCCTCTGGGGTTGGTGGTGGTAGTGGGGAGGGAGGAATCAAAATATAACAGGAGAGACAGATTTGGTCCTCTCTCCACGCACCCTCATTCTGTGGCTCTGAACACTGGGACCTGTGGATGTAGAGCGAAAAGTTATTATAAAGCCACTGGATGACAGGGGCTGGAGCGATAGCACAGCAGGTATGGCATTTGCCTTGCACAGGGCCGACCTGGGTTCGATTCCCAGCATTCCATATGGTCCCCCGACCACCTCCAGGCCAGGAGTAATTCCTGAGTGCATGAACCAGGAGTAATCCCTGTGCATCACTGGGTGTGACCCAAAAAGAAAAAACAAAAGTCACTGGATATGCATAGCTTATTTCTGAGGAGGGTCCATGAATTTGACACCCAGGCTCCTTGATTCTTAGAGAGCCCCACCTCTCATGGACCCTCGTGCTGGGTAGTGCCCTCTCGGCCATGCCCTAGGTACCTCATCAGCTGTATGAGGCCTCTGTTCAGGGCAGAGGTGGGAGAGGCAGGATTCTGCCTGCTACAAGAGGGGCTACTATGCCCACGGTTGTGGATCCATGGGCCAAGGCACCGTCTGCATGTGACCTGGAACAGGAATGGAGAGGTGGCTTCAGGAAGGAGAGCAGAGTTGGCGCATTTTAATTTGGGGCTTGAAAGACGACAAAGTTTACCAGGCGGAGTAGATAGGATTTCCGAGGCAGAGAGAAGTGTCAGAAGCTCAGCTACAAAACTCCATGGCTGCTTAGTGGGGACAGCGTTGACTGAAAGCATTTATTGGGTGTAGGGGAAGGACCGGAAGGGACTTGCTCCTTGGGCCGAGGACTTGTTCAGTGCTGCACTAACCCCCAATGTCCTGCCCTGAGGTGGTAAGGCAGAGCCAGAGAAGCAGCGGAGGGAGGTGGGCTTCTCTGGAGAATCACTGACCAGTTCCTATTTTGTCTCCCTAGGGGTCTCATGTCCCACTGCATTGCCATCTTGAAGGTAATACTCTTTGATTTCCCTGCGAGACGGGAGAGGGTCCCTGACGCAGGCCTAGCGCTGGTGCGGTGTGGGCGCTGTGCAGGGACCCACATTGCTGCCCTCACACTTTTGCGCATATGCGCACCTGGGCGCTTCTGCTCTAGCTTCTGCTCCAGCCTGCGGCTCTCATGGGGACGCTTGCTGTGCTTCGAGCCTGAGCCCCTTCCAAGAGCGGTGCTTCACTTGCTCCTTAAAGGACATTAGCCTGTGCGGAAGATGCATAGGAGGTCACAGCTGCCATTTCACCCTCCCGTGACAAAGGCGTGCGTCCCCCCAGTAGAGCTGGTGAGCAGGAGATGGAGCTTCCCAGCACAATCTCCCATGAGCTGAGAGCTCAGCTTTTGTAGACTTCTCCCCCCCACCACCCGCACCAACCAGGAAGGCCTTGACCCACCCTCTGTGCTGTAACAAACGGGACCACCAATGTTAAAATATACAAATCACAAGTACTTCAAATTGAAGGCAGGTTGCCTTTTCTTTTATTAAAAAAAAATTTTTTAAGGGCCATAGTGATAGTACAGCAGTAGGGTGTTTGCCCTGCACATGCCCAACCCGGGTTGGATCCCTCGGTATCCCAGGTGCAGCCAGGTGCAATTCCTGAGTGCAGAGCCAGGAGTGACCCCTGAGTATTGCCAAATGTGGCCCCCAAACAAAAATTAAAAAAAATTATTTCGGGCCATATCTGGCAGTGCTTGGGAGCCACTCTCTGCCCTGCTCAGGGTCACTCCCAGCAGTGTTCAGGAGACCACCAAGTGCTGGGGCTGGAACCCAACCATCTGTGTGCAGAGCAGGTGCTCAGTGTGTGGAACCCGCGCCTCCAGGACTGGCTGGAAAATTGCATTCAGTTTAGATTTGGGATAATTTTTTATAGTTTTAAGTAGTATTTATAGTTTTCAGTTTTTGCTTGGTACTATTCTTCCTAATAGAATAATAATAGTATTTAAAGATCTGGCCATTGGCAAATACTGTCAGTTTCTGTTCAGTAACCTGGGAAACTACACATATATCTCTTTGTCTACTAATTATTCAAGATTAAGGGGTAAAAAAGAGAGAGACAGCCTTTTCTTTACTTCAGTATTATTTGCCAGAAGATATTAAAATGTCTTTTATCCTACCTCATTTTTAGCTGTCTTTCTTGAGGGATAGGAAGAAAGGGAAAAAAAAAGCCTAGTAAGAAATTGCTCTCAGAGAGTCCAGCCTGATTATGTGGTTGCAATAGGCTATTTGGGCATAGAAAAGGCTATAGACAGAGACAGCTAAGCATTGCGCAGAGCAATAATGCCATATTAACTCTCCCTTCTTCCAGCCAGGATGAATTCTGGCATGGGCTTTGTCCCTTGCCCTTGTCTATTATAGCAAGAAATAAATGGCCCAGGAGATAAGGGGTGACTCAGCTGAAGGATTTTTCTAGGATTACACTTCATCTTGGAGACCTCAGATCAAAGGAAACACTTTAGGGATGAGAAACAGACAGACAGAGACAGAGGGACAGAGAGACAGAGACAGAGAGGGATGGTGGGGGGAAGGAGAGGAAGAGAGATTAATTTGATGCCAGCGGGGTCAAGAGGCTGGAGCACATGCTTTGCATGCCAGAGGCACTGCATGGTTCCCTGAGCACTGCCAGGAGTCACCCCCTGAGCATAGAACCAGAAGTAATCCCTGAGTACTGCCAGGTGTGGCCCCCCGCCCCCAACCAAAAATCAGCGAAATCACTTCAGATCTTCCCCTTGGGATTTCAGGGCCCTGTGACTTGACCTCCTTCCTGGAACCTCCACCCATCCCCCCCCTCCCCCCCATGACAGGGACTCCATGGAGGGGACCAGGTACTCCAGGGTGGGGGCGGGGAATGCAATTTGGGCTACTTTCTGCTCTCTGTTTCCCAGCCCTATGCACAAGGCAGAGACACACCCTGGGAGACCAGGTGTGTTTTAGTGGTCTCTTTCCTGCTTTTCCCCAAGGCTCTTCCACCTGCTATCTTATCAGATCTGCACATCTAAGAGAGACTGTTGATGAGATAATTGCCACTTTGGAGGGAATGTGTTTCCAGGAAACCCTTTGTCCTGGGTCATGTTTATGAGGGCACCTCACTCCACACCCACAGATTCAGAGAAAGTAGCTGTTCCCCCAAAGAGAGAAGGTGAAATCCACTAAACTGAGCACATGATTTTTCTTAGCAGATTGTTTTGTCCTTCTCAGCAGATCTGTGGGACTCACGGCTTTCTCCATTCCAGGCGCCTTCAACTTCACCCCTTCCACCTCATCTTCTCTCCTCTCTGTCTATTGTTTCCTTCCATCTTTCTGTGAATGAGGGGGAGGCCTTAAGCAGGGACTCTTGCCTTGCTGGGGGTGGCCAAAGTCCCTGGAGGGAGCTGGGTCACCCCCTCATTCCCCTTCTCTCTCCTCCTGGCCATGTTAGATCTGTCACACGCTGACGGAGAAACTTGTGGCCATGACAATGGGCTCGGGGGCCAAGATGAAGACATCTGCCAGTGTTGGTGACATCATTGTGGTGGCCAAGAGGATCAGCCCCAGGTGAGCTGGGGTAGGGTGGAGGCTCCCAGGGTCCCCATGCCTGGGGAGGGGTGGGAAGGGTTGGCAGCTGAGGGGACAGCAGGGCTGGGCTCTTCCAGGAGGCTCCGAGGGTGTAAGTTTTTCTAGTGACCTGACTCAGGTCACTCAGGTCCCCCTCACATCCAGCTGCTGCCCTCCACCTGCAGGCTTTCTTTTGGGGGCAGGGAATTCCAGCTGTGAATTTCCTCTCTCCCTGATGCTGGGCCCCTTTCCCTCCTTTTGCACTTTTCTACCTTATAAGCACTTTTTTTATTTGGCTTCTTGGGTCACACCTGGCGATGTTCAGTTGCTCCTGGTTCTGCACTCAGGAATTACTCCTGGCGGTGCTTGGGGGACCATTTGGGATGCTGGGAATCGAACCCTGGTCGGCCATGTGCAAGGCAAACGCCCTACCTGCTGTGCTATCGCTATCGCTCCAGCCCCTCCTCATAAGCACCTTTCCTGCTGCTGCATATGCCCTGTCCCCAGCCTGCATCTGTATTAGAGACCCTGGGACTCTCTCTTGCCCCAAATGTCCCCATCGCCTCCGTCCATGGTCCAACCAATCACCTCCAGGGCTCTGTGGGAGGTGAAGCCACCCCTCATCTGCATCTCCCAGATTCCAGGCTGCCTGAGAAGTCGCATGTGGGAGGCGGCCGGGGAAACGAGGCCTTTTTTCCAAAGCCCGGGCTGTGCGCCCGCTGCCGAGCCGGCTGCCCCCTGGTGGCTGGAATGTGGCGGCGCCGGCGCTGTCTTCCGTCTAGGATGTTTTCCTAACTAGCCACCAGGCGCCCTTCCAGTTCCTGGGGCTGGGGGAGCGGTGACGTCCCGACTTTCCCAGAACCCTCCCCCTCCTTGTTGCGCATCATGAGGAGCCAGACTTCCGAGGAGGGAGGACAAAGTTGATGGCCTTGACTACTCAGCAAGTTGAGAAAGTGGGAGCGGGGAGAATCAGGGCGTGTCCTGCTGGAATAGTCTGGGGTGTTCTCCAGCACTCTCCTGGAGGGGGTGGAGGGGGGGAGCTGGAGGGGGAGTGTTGTTCCAGGCCTTTCTGTTGGATCCCCTTGTTGGTAGCGAGTGCCTTGCTCCTGTTCGTCAGGTGCCTTCATGGTTTTTTTCTGGTACTTATTTATTTATTCTTTGGCTTTTGGGTCACACGAGGGGATGCCCCGGGGTTACTCCTGGGATGCCGGGGATCAAACCCACGCCAGCTGCATGCAAGGCAAAACGCTTACCCACTGTACTATCTCTTCGGCCCCGCATCCTGGCACTTCTGGGCTGCCAAGCCCACCCATGAGAGTCTGCCCTAGAAGGCTGCATGCCGGGCAAGGGCCAGGGCAGGGAAGAAGCCAAGATCCCTGAGGATGATGAGGAAGTTAGGGTTAGTAGGGGTGTTGCCGTGGTGAGGGTAGGGGTGGGGGCGTGAGGGCACGGCCAGCCTCGGGAGCACCTTAGAAGCCCTGCTGAGCATCGTGCTCCACCTGAATTCACTCTGGGTGTCTTTTTTGCATTCACATTTCATTCTCTCCGTGTAGTTTGACTATTTTTTCTCCTTCCCGTTGTTTTCTTTGCTCCATTTAGTCCGCATTGTATGGTAATAGCACATTAGTTCCAAGGAGAGTGGCTTCTGCTCCAGGGCACTCCGAAGAAAGGGGCTGGCTGAGACAGACCCTGAGAACCACTTACCTCTGCCTTTTCCCGTGGCCTCTCAGCCCTAGACAAGAATGTTTAAGGACATCTGTTTTCTTGTGCACTTAGAAATCTGAACGCATACCCGCATAGAAACACAAACATCACTTTTTCTTCCTTACTCTCAAGTGGAATAAGAGCAAGAATTTGAAACCAAAATTCACATCATTCGAATCAGAAGGAACAGTAGTTTCTTTTTCAAGTTGATTAAAAAAAAAATCAACCTTGAGGGGGTCATAATGGTGGTGGGAAGGTGTAATGGTGGTGGGATTGGTGTTAAAATGTTGAATATAAAATTGTGAACAACTTTCTGAAAACAAAATTTAAAAACGTTAAGAGTTCATGCCTGCTTTAGTCAGTTTAATCAGTGGCTGAATAAATAGCAGTACTACTACATTAAAAAAAATAAAATAAAAGCTTTGTAAAAAAAAAAAAAGAAAGGAAGATAGTAAAACTGTTAAGATTCTTGCCTTGCATGCAGCCTACCTGGGTTTGGTCCCTGGCACTACAGATGCCAGGGACCCAAGCAGCCAGGAGTGGTCCCTGAGGGTAAATTATGCAAGAAGCACTAAACACATCTGGGTGTGGCCCCCTCACCAGTCAATCAATAATTAACTTCGAACTGTACCACATGTTAAAATAAATGAAAGGAGCAATTTGAAACTCAAACATGTAAGCTTCCCCTCCTCAACCATGACTTTAAAAATTTTTTTAAACATAAAATTAATAAACACTAGTAAGGTAAGGTAAAGGTAAAGGCCCTCCCGTTGATCGTCGATTTGCTCGAGCGGGCCCAGTAACGTCTCCATTGGAGACTTTGTTGTTACTGTGTCTGGCATATCGAATACTCTCGGTAGCTTGCCGGGCTCACTAGTAAAAGCTAAAAAAATTGCAAAATTAGATTAAATGGAAAATAAAGTCCCTTTCAATTCTATCCGTCTGAGTTCCTGGAGATGGAGGCTATTAACTGGGGAGTTTTATTCCACTCTGTCCTCTGCCTTTCATAGCTGCTGTTTGTTTTCTTGTGAATGATAACGGAGTCCACATATGGGCTGCCATTTCTCCTTTGAATTTAGTAGTCTATCTTGAGCATCATTCCACAGGTGTGAACTTCCATTTCCTAAGGCATTGAGCTAAAACAAAACCAGAAGACAAAATGTTCTCCACTCCAGAGCCTTCTGGCCTTGAGGCTGGATCTTAAATCACTGGTGGACTGAAAACGTAGAATGAGGGGAAGGGAGGGAGGAGGCAGGGTGTGTGTTTGTGTGTGTGTGTGTGTGTGTGTGTGTGTATGTTTGTGTGTGTGCGTGCATGTGGTGTAGAGCCATCTACTGAAGCTCTTCTGTCTCCCTTCAGAGTGGATGACGTGGTGAAGTCCATGTACCCGCCACTGGACCCCAAACTCCTGGATGCACGGTGAGTGGGGAATGGAGGTCCCAAGCAGGTCCTGCGGGGGACTCTCTCTTCATCCCACTCTGGGAGTTGGGCTGTCTGGGTTGTGGGAAAGAGGGTTGTGCTGTGGGGTCCTAAGGCGATAACCTGGGGACCATTGAAGTTGATGTGAACTGTCGGTCCCCCAGGGAGCCTGAGACTTGAGCAAAGAAAGAGATCATCTTGGTTTTAAATTTTATTTGATTTTGGACCACACCTGGTGGTGCTCAGGACTTACTTCTGGCTCTGCACTTGGGATCACTCCTAGTGGGGCTTACGGACCTGTATGTGAATTGAGTCTGTGTGCACAGCTTTGTGCAGGGCAAGCTCCTTATCCACTGCTATATTATCTCCAGCCCCAGCTTGGCATTTCTTAAAAATTAGATATCTGGCCCTACTAAATTCTGTCTCCCCCCACCCCCCGTGTCCCTTCCCCACACACCGCTCCCATCCCCTCCTTTCCCTTTTCCTTTCTTTCTCTTATTACTCTCTCTGCCTTTCCACCCCAGAAGCTGACATGTCTGCACACTCCCCCAAGATGGGGGTGGTAGTGGACAGAGCAAAAAGAATAGAAATGACCAAGTCAACTACAGCTGGGCTCACCTGCCCAGGCAACCCAGAAAGCTCTCCACCATGATCCTGCCGTGATACGAAGACCACACCGAGCCTTTTGAAGTGTGTTCCTGCACCAGATGCAGGCCTGTTTGTGAAAGCCCAGATTCTTCTGGATTTATTTGGTTATTTGGCTGTTTCACAGAAACACAGTTGCTAGCAGGTTGCCTGCTCACCGCCCAGCCAGTGGCTTCTTGGCAGTCGTTATCTGCTTTCTGCCCAGTGCTGTTCTAAGGCTGGAATTTCCAAATACACACACACACACACACACACACAGAGAGAGAGAGAGAGAGAGAGAGAGAGAGAAATAGAGAGAGAGAGAGAGATGCAGTGACGCTTACAATACTGAAAAAGAGAACCTCTGCCTCTGTTTGGTTTTCAATTAAAAAAATTAAGAGTAGGGACTAAACAGCCTGGGGTCATGTTGACTCAGAATCAATGAGGGATGCTCAATCTTTGGGAGAGAGATTAAGAGATAGACTGCTGAATTACGGGGCCCCACTTCTGAGATAGCGGATATCCTGTGTATCACACGAAACTCAGGCCCAGAGAAATACGTTGGTGTGCCTTGCTTAACCTGACCACGAGCACTTTTGGGTGTGGAACCTTTCAGGAGAGGGCTTATTGGGCCATCCTTAGTGATGCTGAGGGCCCCCTAGCTTGCGTCTCTTACGGTGCTGGGGGGTGGAATGCCGGGCTCCCACAGGCGCCCTTTGAAGCAGCACCCGTCCTGTGGCCAGCTCTCACGGGCATATTCACAGCTTTGTCCTTGTCTCTCCTAGGACCACAGCCCTGCTGCTGTCTGTGAGTCACCTGGTGCTGGTGACCCGGAATGCCTGCCACCTGACAGGGGGCCTGGATTGGATAGACCATTCCCTGTCTGCAGCCGAGGAGCACTTGCAAGTCCTGCGGGAGGCGGCCCTGGCTTCGGAGCCAGAGAAAGGCCTCCTGGGCCCTGAAGGCTTCCTGCAGGAGCAGTCGGCCATTTAGGGCCCACTGGCCTACAGCTGCCCACAGTACCCCTGACCTGCTGCTTGCTTTCCCAGTAAACTCTGTCCTTCCACCCGCTAGTGAGCCACAGGGTCAGTGAGCCGCTGCGGGAGGGACCGCAGCAGGACCTCTTGGTTGCAGTTGCAAATGGTGGCCACTGAGGGCGCCCTAACACCACAGTTAGGGGGGCTGACACGGCACAGCTTGGGAAAAGGTGGCCCGCACGGTTGGGGGAGTGCCCCTCTAGGAGCCAGTTTCACCCTAAAAGCAAAATTTCTTTCATTTTTTTTATGTTGTGGAGAGGGGTGACATTGGGCCAGACCATGCCACACTCAGGGGGATCTTCCTGGCTCTGTGCTCAGGAGTGACCTCTGAGGCTGCTCAGGGGAACCGGAGATGGTGCCGATTTGAACTGGGGTCGGCCGCATGCAAGGCAGGTGACCATCCCTGGACTGCCTCTCGGGCCCCCAAATCAGAATTTCTGGGTTCTTTTTTTTTCTTTTTGGGTCACACCCAGCGATGTTCATGGGTTACTCCTGGCTCTGCACTCAGGAATTACTCCTGGCAGTGCTCGGGGGACCATATGGGATGCTGGGAATTGAACCCGGGTTGGCCGTGTGCAAGGCCAATGCCCTCCTCACTGTGCGATTGCTCCAGCCCCATAGAACTTCTGGTTTCTTATGGCAATTCGGATAACGCCTTTTTAAAAGAAGACTGTCACCTGGAGCTAAGGCTTTTCTATTTAGCCAAGATCTGATCTCCCTGACCTCACCCATTCCATTCATTTGTGTCACCTACCTGGTAATACCTGTTCCCTGGTCCCTGACCCATCTGCGTCCGACCTCCCTGTCACAGGTGGGGGTTGAAGGTGAGCTTGTCGGAGTTGATTGTTCCCTTGTTATTTGCCTGCATTTTCACCTTGCTGCCACTAGGCGGGTAATAAACTCATCCCTCACTTTCCCTCAGATGTGCAGTGGCGTCTCATTCACTTAGGTGGTGTTGTCTGAGAAGCGAGAAGGAGGGAGGGAGACTGAGGGTCCCGAGGAGGCCTCCTTGAGTGGATGACTCAAGGTGAGACGTTCAGGCAGAGGTGCGGAGGGCGATGCTCCCCACCACGTCAGCTCGTGTCCTGGAACGGTGATCCTCCCTTCGATGTCTCTGCATTATCTCTGCTTTGCAACTGTTGAAATACAAGCTGGTTCTTATGACCTGAGACCTTTGTGGGACCCCGTTCACAGTCATCCAGACCCTCATCTGGATGGTTGCAAAGCTGGGAGACTGCTGCCTCCCAGGCCCTCGGAGCCAACCTCCCTCTGTGGGCGAGGGCCCTGGAGGGTTGGGGTTCATGGTATGTGCTGTGGAACATGTAGGGAACCCTGTCTCCATTCCTCATTTATCTTATCTGCTCTCCCTTGACTGGTGCACCCCTTGGCCTGATAGTTGAGACCCAGGAACCCAGACCTCAGCCTCAGGATCGGCGCCTTGTGTGTCATGGAAACAGGTCACTGGGTTTGTGTCATGCTCTCAGAGAGCTGGGAAGGTAGTGGACAGACAGGGGCACTGGGGCTCAGTGCCTGTGGACCGAGGGACAGACTCACCATCACAGGAGATCCTTCACTGCCGTGTCTATTTCGTGTTAATCTTTTTTTTTTCTTTTTGGGTAACACCAGTGATGCACAGGGGTTACTCCTGGCTCTGCACTCAAGAATTACTCTGGCAGTGCTCAGGGGGCCATACGGAATGCTGGGAATCAAAACCAGGTCGGCCGAGTGCAAGACAAATGCCCTACCTGCTGTGCTATCGATACTCCAGCCCCTTTGTGTTAGTCTTGAGTCTGGTCTTGGCAATATTTTCTTGTCTCTCTGGCAAAGCTCTGAATTGTTCACAAAAGTCACTTTGGTTTCAAAGCTCTGAATTGTTCACAAAAGTCACTTTGGTTTCACTTGTGGGGCCTCCCCCACAGGATGTCCACAGCGCTCCTGTGTCGGTCTTTCACCTGCCCTGTGAAAACCTCCTCTCCTGAGCAATGGGACACCTGCCCAGGCTTGCTGTGCTGTACACGCACTCACCCGGACCAGAGACCGCGGCAAAGGACAGCACCCTGAGAAGTGCTCACCTTCTGTCCACTGAGGCTGGGGCTGGAGGAGGGGACGTGTCCAGCACCCTGCAGTGATGCCTCCAGTGGTTTACCTTCAACAGGGCCTGGTGGGTCCCTGCCCAAGTGACTTCCTGAAACCCTGAGATGCCACCTTTCAGCCGCGGCAGGGGTGGGTGGCTACACATATGGGATACTCCAAGAGACTTGTGTGTTTCAGCCTCGGTGCCCGCTGGCTGCTGAGACCAGGTGGGATCTTGTGTCACCAGGTCTCTGGGTGAGGCGGGTACTGATGTGGCAATGCAGCCCCAGTGCCCTAGGTCCCCAGTGAGTCAACTGGAGTTAACTCGGAGGAAGTGGCTGGGAGAGGGTTTAGGGGAATGTCCAGCTGGAGGGGGACCCGCCCCAAGCCCCGAGTTCCCTGGTGTCTGTATGTATGTCCATGTAGAGCGAGCTTGTTCTCCCAGGATTTCCCTCCATCCTGTAGTCAAACAGTATATCAGCCTCGGTTCCCAGGAGCCCCTCAGGGAGAGAAAATGAGTGTGAGAAAAAGTCAGATCTGGGTTCAAGTTCTGGGCTCAGTCATTGTCACTCACCCTCTGGTCCTTGGCCCTCATTTGGGCCGTCAAAGCTGCCTCCTCACTGGGCTGGCAGATAGGCTCAGATAAGTCGGCATGTGACCTGCGTGTGGTATGTATCTGTTGCTGAATAATTCAGCCAATGGTCTTTCTTCTCTCCCTGGTGCCATGTGTGTTGAGGCGGCTGACTCCAATGGTGTCACCCTCATTACTGTGGCTGGGGCCCAGCAGGGGCTCTTAACCAAGTAGCCCCCAGTCGGGACCTTCTGCAGCAGAGAACGGCCCAGGCTCGCTGCTGCTCCACCCCAGTCTGTGCACTACGTGATGCCAAAGCTTTTGGCACCCCCTTATCAGCACATCAGGGAGAATTGGTCAGGCTCCCATTCTTCGGCCTGGGACGCTGCTCTGGCTTGTGAAATCATCCAGACAGAACAGAGGGTGCTGGCATCTGCAGTCTTGACCCTGACCCGCCTCATTCCAGAAGTTCCTGCTCCCCCGAGGCCCTGCGTGGGCGCCCCCAGGAGCCTGAACTTCAGATAATGATATTGCAGTTTAAAGCCCCCAGATGCTGTGAGGCTGAGACATTTAGGGGACGGTGCCAAATGAAGAATGTCTCTCTCTCTCTCCTCTCTCCCTCTGCCCTCCTCTCTCTCCCTCCTTCTTAATTCTCTCCCACCAAGTCCTCTTTCTCTCCTACAAACATACTGTGT